GAGCCCCCCCCCCCGCCCTCCCGTGCAGCATGCAGGACACCTGCCCAGAAAACCCTTCTGAGCAGCCAGCCGCGTCACAGCTCAGCTCACCACCGGTCCCAGAGCTCGGCCGGCAACCGCAACAAGTGGGAGCGCACACGTCCTTCCCAACCAAAACGGCGCAGGGCTGCACACGTAGCTTCCCAGGGCCCCCACTGTACAAACCGCATGACGTAACTCTAGAAGCGGTGCCCGGCCCACACAGAGCGTACCCGTTCTTGGACACTCTGATTCTATTCTTTACGCATCCAAGACAGAAAAATCCATCCACCAAGAACGACATGACTCCAGTAGGAGTCCATTAGGGTAAGATGGACACAGGAGAAACGATGCCAGCTCAGAAAAGTTTTTGCACCAAATCCGAACATTTGGCATACGCAAGACGTGCCACCCTTCTATGGCTTGCACTGGCACAGTTGCACACAACAAACAAGTAGTGAGACCCAGGCGCGAAAGACGGGCAGCGAAGAGCGTGGTGTGAAGAGAAGGGTGCAGCGCGTGAGCAGAATCGCAGGGGAAACCCAACAGAAACGGGGAGTCTGCTGCTGTGGCAGGAGATAAAACTCTAGCAGCAAGCTCTGTGTCTTATGGGTGCTGGTGGCGGCAACACAAACGACACGCGCTGCAGAAGGATCAGAAGGCACAACACAGTTTACACTCTCACGCAGATCCAGCGTGCTTTTACGTGTGACTGAGGCGGCTGGATTTTCTAAGGTAGGCTGCTAGTTAGTTGCATTTACCAAAACCAGGGAGAGACTAGGAAGAATAAGCTTCTACCGAAAGCTCGAGGCCCCTTTTTGAAGATGGTCTCACAATGATTGCCTCAAGCAATTTAACAACTGTCATGGAAGACAATACTCTATGCCTTGAAAGGAAAAAGTAAACTTCGATGGAATTAGGACAAAACTCCGAATTAGGGCAGATTTACACGAGCTCACACTACGCGGTTGCAAGGTTTTCTTCAAGGCAGCCTGTGCATTCCCGATCCGTGCATCTGTTACCTGATACTCTGTATTATTAATGCATGTTTGCTTTTCATTATAGCTATAACCCAGTATTGATACTGGCACATAATGTAAGTTTGATGACAGCAACTATTTATCAGTTGTATAAACACTCCAAAAAAAGTAAACCGAGTGTGAGAGAAAGCAGATGTATCATAGTCCTCAGAAAAGCAACTTGGATTCCATGTAAAATATGAATACACTTTCAGTTACCCCACATTTACTACATTAGCAATACAAGAATGGAATTCTCGAGTACAAAGAGAAGAAAAATTTTAGTTTACATTTGTTTATTGTGATAACATTGTTCTGAACATCAATAAACATTGCACTGAAGTGTGGGTTACTGTACCCAAGATAGTCCAGTCTTAACAAAAACGTCTGTATTGGTATGATCACAGATTTGACAATTTTAAACACACTACCTTGTTAGTGATTGGGTTGCTTAACAATCAAGTATTCCACATCTTCAACATGAAAATGAAACAAATGATTCAAGAGAGTTTTCCCACCCTCAAAATAAACCAACGTTTTGACTGTCATCTGGAAGTAATTAACACAGTAAAAAAAAAAAATCCAAAACAATTCCATTCTATTCAGCAGAATTTAACTTTGGAAACTAAAACTTCTTCAGGCAAAAGTGACACTTTAAAGGCATCTCAAATTCACTATGTATTTTTGATGTTTCATTATGAATTTGCATTACAGTCATTTAAACAACTCTCATGTATGAAACAACAGCATTTTCTAGAAGACTTGTATGAAACATGAACATGAAATCTCATCTCTTTGTCTTTACCGTTAAGCGGATTCAGAGTTTGCTTCAGAAGTTCCGTAACAGAGTTGACACAAGCGTTAAAACTTCTCCAGTTGAAAGGAAGTTTCAGAAGGAGTACAGTGATGACAGGAAGCTAAGGAAAACATGAGCCGAGACTGCACATGCAATTGTGTACTGTTAGGGGTGAGAGCCCAACCTTTTGAAGTACAAACATGCTTGGTACAGTAAAAAAAAAAAAAAAAAAATTAAAAAATCCAGAAGTGTGTACCACTTAAATTGCTGATCTTTAAATCATTACAGAAATGGGTAATGTCCAAGTCACTAACAAGTTTTGGATTGCAATGTTCCTTATTTATTCCCAGATGGGCGTCGTTGACTCAGCCTTTGACATGGTTCCAACGCTAAGAGGATCTGCATCTTCAACAACACAGTCTTAACAGGGGTGGTGCGCACGCGCCTACAGACGTACACACTTAGAAGTTCCTCTTTCACAGAAAGAATGATTCAGCTTGCGCTAATTTTAAATAAGTATAGCACAACCGGTTCTCAAATATTGGTTTCAGGCCACTTCTCTCAGCGAAGGTCACAAAGGACAGGCTAATGCACAATTCTTATTTACCCCACTTCATATTAATATTGCAGCACAAACCCACAGTTTGATAGTAATGAGATGTCTTTTCTAGAGTCAGTAAAGTGCCCAGCAGTCCAAATTACATCGGTATGCCATGACAGGTACAGTGCCCCCATATTCTGTCCTTAAGCGGAGTTAACAAACAATCTGAAAAGCTTCAAATACAAGCCAGGTTTAGAAAAACAAAACAAAACAAAAACCCTGCCCTACTCTCATCAGAAATACTCAAGAACACTTTTTATCAAAAAACAACTATCAAAACTGTAGCTGTTACAGAGCAAAAAAGCAGAATTTTTAACTGAGCAACTTTTTGGACATCCCTATAACACAAAATAACAGATTAGCAGAACGAGGGGCTCTCTACAACCACACAACCCCCGTATTCATACCAGCTTAAATTATATGCATTTGGAGATATACTTGACACTGTTTTTCCACACTGCTCATTTACTCAAGTCCCCACCTTAAAATCCACAGCTTATCTTTATGACAATCTGAAAAGAGGAATGGAACTGAAGTGAAGAGAAAAAATTAACCAAGTAAAAAAAAAAAAAAAATCAACCAAGAAAGATACAGCCAAACCTTGGTAACCATCTGTCCCATTTGGAAACCCGTCCCGGTTTCATGAAGTGCTTTTAGTTTTAGAAAACCTGTGTAATACCAGGGCCACCAAGAATAAGTTAGGCATGGTAAAGAAAATTTTGACATCCATGAAGGGCATCCATTTAGGAGAGGCAGCTTCACTCCCTTTCTGTAAAATAGAATCTTTAGATAGCCTATTCCATCTTGTAATTAAAATACTTTATCATGTTGGATTCTTACTTATTTATTTTAAAGTATTTAAGTGACTTCAAAGCTCAAATCCCATTGATATTCAAAGCACTTGGTGATCATGAAGATTTCGGTTTCTAATGAAATCTATGGAATAAAAGGTAAGAAAAGGGGAAAAAAAAAAACCAACATAGAATGATGTAAGCTTCTGACAGTAAAAAAAAAGAACAAACAAAAAACCCCAAAACCCCAGTAAGAGCAAAATATCCTTTGAGTTGAATCCTGTGAAATCCACTTAAACACTGAGTAGATTGGTGACAGAACCAAGAATTTGCTGAAACAATCACAGGAAGTATTGTTCTCACTGTACAAGAACAAGGATACCTTTCAATTCACTGACACGCATGGCACACCGTGACAGACAGGTATGTTTTCTTTCCCACTCTCATACTCCTGCTTTGAAAGAGAGGTTCCATGTTGATTCTGCTTGTCCCCACTCTTTATTTAATGTTTCATAAACATGGGAATACACTAGAGTTTTATAAAGAAAAAAAAAAGTGATTTCATTTATACAGTGATCTAAAAATTATCCCCCCAGGCAGTTCATCAGTTGTCTAGCATTAGCTGGTGTTACATCAGAACTGGGGCTTAAGACTACTCAGCCTGATACAGAACAATACTCCTGTGCGGGGGGTAAAATCCTCTAAACGTTCTCTTGCAGGTAGCGAAGCAAAGAGAGCTCCTTTCCTACATTCAGCCCAAGTAAGCTGAAGCAGAAGGGCCTGCCCAAGCCGTTTCTGAGAAGAGCAGCCCTGGTGCAGGCACTGCGGCAGGTAGCCATACACATGCCTTCTAAAGATCACTCACTTCCCAGCACACGTCCCTGCTCCCGCTGGGAGCTGTGTACGGGGGAGAGCTCGCCCTGGAGCCTGGTGGAAATTCTGGGTGTTGCCCCTGGCATGTTCTTTCATGCATGGCCCCAGGAACTTGCTTAAGCAGTGACAGAAAAGACTGTGCGCCCAGAAAGCCCAGGACTGATGTTTAGATGACTGTCGTCCTTAAGCCCTTTGGGCTGGTGGAATCATACATTCTCACCATAGATTTGTCCGAAGGAGGTTAAATGCACTAACTCAACTTAAAAAGCAGAACTACCTTTGCCTTCAAGTATTTTTGGAGAGAGAAATACTAGCTGCTTTTGCAGCTCATAAACACTAGACTTGGAATGCAATTTGTTCACAGGCCCTGATCTGAACCTGAGGAATGACCAGCATGATGTTTATGAATAACCCAAGAGTTTTAAAAAAAAAAAAAAGTGGGGGAGGGGGGGAGAAAAAGAAAAAAAAAAAGGTTTTATTCTGCTCTGCAGCATTTAACCATTCTCATACCTGGAATCTCACTATTTAGCTGCATTTCCTTCCAGCTACTGAAAACCTGCAATACAGAATTCTGGAAAGACCTGCAGTAGACAATTAAAAAATTAAATACGTAATTTTTTTAGTATTACAATTCCCTGAATATAATCTGTGCATACATTTTACTGGCCTATACAGCACACACATATATGCATCATCTCTGTGTTGAAAAAGGAAATAAAAATGCCAGCTCCCCAACTCTTACAGAAATGTTCAAGATGTTTCTTGATGGAAATTTAACATGACATAGTGCAGCCTGAAAACAACAAAAGCCACACAAGTATCTGAAGACAACTTTCATTTTAACAAGCTCATGAAACAGTTTAAGCATTGCATGTAAAAAAAAGTAATAAGCAGAGTTTGAGCGTGAACGGTACAAGCACAATCTTGTACATGTGCCAAAAGGCATACTTACATTTAAAGAGGAATTTTATGTCTTCAGAGTCTGTCAGGCTAGTAACATCTACACATTTTCTGTATTTTAGCTGAGAAAGAGCACACTGGTCTTAGGTTCTGGCTCCTTTCAAAAATGGCCTAATTGCCCATCTGAACATTAGACCACGTTTTTTATTAATAGGTCTGACATTCTATTTGGCAGTTTCCATACACTTTTTGGCTTCATTTTAGAAAATATACTATTAAGACTAATAATTAAAAAAAAAAAAAAAAAAATCTATGTTTACAATAAGGTCTGTATTGATGAAAATGCAAAGTCATAGTTTACCTCAGCATTTAGTTGCCCTGAAGCACTCGGGTACCATGACCATCAATGACAGGCCAATCTCAAGTGCCTTAGAACAGGTACATAAAGACAAGCAATAAAGAAGCAAACAAACAAACAAAAAAACCAAAGCCCACACAAAAAAATTAGACAGTAGCTTTGCATTTTCTTTGTTTTAAACCAACCCAGTTAAAGTGATTTCTTTAGTAAGACTTATGGTACCAGTATATAAATTAGCATCTTCATTAAGAAAGTTCTTCACATTTAAACTTGAGTAGCTGAATATGAAATTCCATCTCTAGGTGAGAAGTATTTTTCAGGCCAGGTCATCCATGTTAAGGTCAGGAAGAGGCCCTCTCCAATAGCAAAAGGAGCTGAATTCTGGGCACGGAAATGCAGAGCTCTGTTCTTTATTAAGCAATGGGAACACGTGTTCCACAAGCTCACTTAGTCTGTAATACCTATATTAAAAAAGAAGAAAGACCATTATTTAACAGTCTAGTCACTGTTCAACTGTAGCCAGAAAAGAGCTTTAGAAGTCTAGACCAGAATGCTATAGTCAAATAAGGCATCGCTACTGCAGAAGCAATTTTCAATTTTATTTCACCAGTTTACTTTTCTTTTTGGAAAGTTTCAGTTAAGAATCCAAAGTTGTAAGTCTCTGGCAAATAAGATTTTCACGTGTTGTATGTAATAGGAGATCGAATCATGGTCACAATTGCAATTATTTTGTAATCTCATTCCTAAATGCTTTCTTTAACTGAAATAACAAAAATGATCTTACGAAGATTTGTTTCCCTTAGTCCGTTCTTGGATCAGTTCACCCTTTGGATTCACAGTAAATATTCTGCAGTCTGGAACTCCCACTTGCGTGTAGGCATATACATCCTGCAAAAAGCACAAACAAAAGCACACGCTTCAACGTTTCCTTATTGAATGTGATAAAACAAACAATTCCATGAAGGAATGAGAAAAGCTGATCCAGAAGGGGTACAGTAAAACTGCCCCTTAAAAAAAGCCCCCTAAACAACAGCCAAAAAACAAAACAAAACCCCAAACCAAAACATTCCCCCCAACCCCTTAATTCCTGTTCCCAAGCCTGGGACCACAAACATGCACAAAATCTATACGAAACAATACCATTCCTTGTGACAATACTCCTCTTACAATACCCCCTCTCTCTCTAGCTCAATTATGATAGCATTGATCTGCAGAGAAAATACAGGAACTGTACGATAGGAAAAAGGATTCAAGATTCAGGAGCATTGAAATAATACCCTTAGGTTATAAAGCTGTCAAAAATGCTGAAAAAGCATATGGAAAGGTGGCACATATTTAATAAAATCCTGAAAATACTAACACATCTTTGTAACCTTTCTCATATAAACAGTTCTAGCAGCTTTTATTTAAGGTATCCGCATGTGGGTTTTCCTGACCAAACCCATAAAAGCACCGGTGTCCCACTTCCTTATTCAAATTTAAATAGACACAAAAAGAAAAGCCTATTTCTTTTGCTTCCCAAGTATTTTGTGCATTTTAACCCTTCAATTAGAACGGGGCAGACTTACATTTGGCCTGTTTCCAAAAGCAGCATAGAAAGGCTGTTTACTGGGAGCAAACAAATTCTTGATATCATTCAAACATTCGATTTTGAACTTTTCAGGCTTCTTTTCTATTACTTCCCTAAAATAAAATTTCAACAGTCAAATTCTAAATCATGATTTGATAGAGGCTATCCTCCTTCCCCCATTTTTCTGATCTTTATGTTCTCATTGCTTCCTGTTGCTAGCATTGGTAGTTATATAGACATTGGTCAGTAATTTTCCAAGAATGATGCAAGAGACAATAAAACATTCGCTGTTTTACAACATCCATAGTCAAAAATAGGTGAATAACCTGTGCCTAGGCTAAGTAAACGGGATGAAATTCCCAGTTGTGAATGCAGTTTGTGAACTGCTTTTATTGTGGATGACCATCTGAATCAGAAGACCTAATCAAGTACACGTAAGCTTGTTACAACTCCCGCCTCCGACAAGAGAGTGCGGAAGGCCTATTAGCGACCTTAATGGAAGTTGCTGTCATTGCTAGCCATGAATCAGTTGTTTTCACTAAAAAACAAGCAAAACCAAAAAGACTTTTCCACTATTGGCTCTTCCCAGCAAGAACAGGTAGACTATGGCTGGTTCAAAAGATCAACTGAGTTGAACAATAGCTAAACTCCATATTACTTTTTACGTAGTCATATATGGAGCACTCCCAATATCGCAAGATCATTTAGTATGACAGTCTATATTCCCCAGCTTTTTTCTTTTCCCTCTATCTTGGGTAGTAGCACTGCACTACAATCCTTGCAGCTGTACTTGAAAAGACAAAATTGTACTGATATTAAAAGAACCTAATAGTAATCAGTCATGGACTACAGGAATGAAGAAAAGGGAAAATGAGCTGCTCTATGACTGATATTTTGTGTTTTGTAGCCAATTCTAACATTCCCCCAGAAACAGAAGTATACTACAAGTGAAATTCAGACAAAACAAATAGCTTATAAACGATCACCAGGGGGACATCAAGTCTCAGTAGCAAATCCAGCACAGAGTGGAACATTTGGTTACAGCTGTATTGGTCAGCATGTCAAATCCTTTTTAATCTGCTTCTTTCTCTGAGATGGGGAGGGAATGGATGTATGAAATCCCACATGCTTACCTATGAAAGGCAGAAAACAAACTGCTGGGTGACAACATGAGAGGGCCCCTGGGGAGAATCGTTCCTTTGTCATTCACCCAGTGCAGGTATCCTCTGGTCATATCTGCCATCCCAATGGCACGGGCGGAACAGTACAGAAACTTGTAGCCATTTCTAGAAAAGAATTATCAACTTAGTTCATGTTCCTG